GCCCCCGCGCCCGCCTCCTCTCTCCCCGGCCCCGCCCCCCTCTCCCGGTGGCGGCAGAGAGCCCCACCCCAGGGTGCTCCGGACCCCGCCGCCCGCGGGGAAGTGGAGCGCAGCTGGCTGGGGGGGGAGGGGGCGAGGTGTTGCAGGCTACTGGGTGATCCCAGTTCCCACCATCGTGGGTGTGTGTGCGAGAGAGAGAGAGAGAGCGTGACCCCTTGTGTGTGTGTGTGAAAGAGAGAGAGAGAAAGAGAGCGACCCCCCGTGTGTGTGTGCATGAGAGAGAGACATAGGCTGTGTCTACACTACATGCCTCTGTCGGCAGAGGCATGTAGATTAGGGTTGTAGGCAAAGGTAAATGAAGCCGCGATCATTTAAATCGCGGCTTCATTTACCTTTGCCTACAACCCTAATCTACATGCCTCTGCCGACAGAGGCATGTAGTGTAGACGTACCCAGAGAGAGAGCGACCCCTCGTGTGTGAGTATGTGCGTGAGAGAGAGAGACAGAGGGAGAGAGTGTGACCCCTTGTGTGTGTGTGTGTGTGTGAGAGAGAGAAAGAGAGAGAGCGTGACCCCTTGTGTGTGTGTGTGTGTGTGAGAGAGAGAAAGAGAGAGAGCGTGACCCCTTGTGTGTGTGTGTGTGTGTGAGAGAGAGAGCGACCCCTCGTGTGTGTGTGTGTGCGCGTGAGAGAGAGACAGAGAGAGAGCGACCCCTCGTGTGTGAGTATGTGCGTGAGAGAGAGAGACAGAGGGAGAGAGTGTGACCCCTTGTGTGTGTGTGTGTGTGTGTGTGTGAGAGAGAGAGAGAAAGAGAGAGAGCGTGACCCCTCGTGTGTGTGAAAGAGAGCGACTCCTCTGTGTGTGTGTGTGTGTGTGTGTGTGAGAGAGAGAAAGAGAGAGAGCGTGACCCCTCGTGTGTGTGAAAGAGAGCGACTCCTCTGTGTGTGTGTGTGTGTGTGTGTGTGAGAGAGAGAAAGAGAGAGAGCGTGACCCCTCGTGTGTGTGAAAGAGAGCGACTCCTCTGTGTGTGTGTGTGTGTGTGTGTGTGAGAGAGAGAAAGAGAGAGAGCGTGACCCCTTGTGTGTGTGAAAGAGAGAGCGACCCCTCTGTGTGTGTGTGTGTGTATGTGTGAGAGAGAGCATGACCCCTCATGTGTGTGTGTGTGTGTGTGTGCATGAATGAGAGAGAGCGAGAGAGAGAGCGTGAGACCCCTCGCGTGTCTGTGTGTGTGCGGTTGCGCGCGTGAAAGAGAGCACACGACCCCTCCTGCAGCCGCACTAGACCCCTGAAGTGCTCCAAGCCACCTTGCTTGGGTAGGAGGTAAGGGGGCAGGTGGCGGGGC